CTCCTCCATCGCCACCCTCAACTACCTCCCCCCGGCCTCTCTCTGTCTCCCCCGTTCTCTCTCTTCCCCCAGTCTCTCTCTCTCTTTCCCCCACTCTCTCTCTCTGTCCCCCGTTCTTTCTGTTCCCCCCAGTCTCTCTCTCTCTCTCCCCCTTGCCTCTCTTCCCCCCCTCCACTCTCTCTCTCTCTCTCTCTTTTTGCCCCGTCGGAAGCGAGGCCTGCGCGGGGCTCACATCCGCCGGGCCTCGGCAGTCGGTCTCCCCCCCCTGCTCCGAAGATCCTCGAAGTGTGGCCTGCGCTGGTCTCCCTCCCTCCCGCCACTGCCGCCGCCACCGGGTCTCACCTGTCGGGCGCTCCCCTCCGCTCGCACTGAAGCGGGTACATTTGGTAAGGCTTGCCGCTCTTCGTCCGAAGTCTCACCGGTCCCCCCCTCCGCTTCGGGTCCCCCCCATCCTGGCTGCTCTCTCCACGCCTGGCCGCCTTCCCAGCCTTGTCCTGGCCTCGCATCGTTTTTTGCCGCCGCGCCGTTTACAGAGCGTTCCCTGCGCATGCGCAGGGGACGCTCTGTAACTTTCGGGGGGATTTAAACATCCCCCCGATATTTTTTCAACTTTTTTATTTTTGTGCACACGTGGGGACTGGCCCAAGTGTGCACAAACCTCCCCCGGCCCCCCAGCTGCCCCCGGAGCGCTGATTTAGCAATCCGCACTCCGGGGGCAACTTCGCTATTAGATATATAGATAAGTTACAGTTATATCCAATAATATTTGTGCGTATAACATTTTTAAGGGATTACAATCGTGGTTGTCTTCCATTTGAGTAAGTGTAGTAAGTAAGGTTGCCAATTCCAGTTGGGAAATTCCTGAATATTTGGGGGTGGAGCCTGGGGAGGGCGGAGCTTGGGGTGGGGAGGGACCTCAGCAGGGTATAATGCTGTAGAGTCCACCCTCCAAAGCAGCCATTTTCTCCAGGGGACCTGATCTCTGTAGTGTGGAAATCAGTTGTAATTCCTGGAGATTTCCTGATTCCACCTGGAGCTTGGTAACCCTGATTCGGTAATTCCAATATATCATACTGCCAAAAGGGAGGCAGGTAGTACTGCTGGTACTAGCTTTATTGCAGAAGATTCTATATTCAACCCCAGACGTCTCCATTTAAAAGAACTGCAGGTAGCAGGGCTGGGAGACGCTTCTACCTAAGACCCCAGAGAACTGTTGCTAGTTACAAATATACACAGCCAGGCCAAATAGTTGGTTTCCAAGAGACGTCGAATTCCGCCATTCTTCCTGTTCAGCCCAGCATTCATAATATTCTCCTTTTCATTGTTGACTAGATTATTTACATAACCTGTAGAATAATTGCTTCTGGGACAAAGAAATCTTTTGGAAGAACAGAAGGAAGAAAAAGAAATTTCAAGGACTTAGACCTGAGGATACGGAAGTTAGATCTCTCATGTTATCTTAGCAGAAGTTGTCAGAATCAGTATTGCTTACCTTATATTTCCCAAAAAAAGGATGCCGGCCTCCACATATGAACATGTCATCATCTCGTTCCAGAGTTAAGCGAACCGGGCAGCCAGTTCTACAAACAAAAAGAGAGACATGGACTCCTGCTGACTTCAGGGTAAACTGCCAGGAGGACAAATATCAAATTTAGACTACATAACCAAGGGGGGGGGGGAATTGAAAAGTACCTAAATACATCTACTTATCAACTCTCCTAATCCTGGATTGGATTTTTATTTGAAGAAGAAGAAGAAGGGGAGATTGGATTTATACCCCGCCCTTCACTACCCAAAGGTGTCTCAGAGCAGCTTACAAGCTCCTTTCCCTTCCCCTCCCCACAACAGACACCCTGTGAGGGAGGTGGGGCTGAGAGAGCTCTGACAGAAACTGCTCTTTTCAAGAACACCTCTGACAGAACTGTGGCTTGCCCAAGGTCATCCAGCAGGTGCAAGTGGAGGAGCGGGGAATCAAACCTGGTTCTCCCAGATTAGAGTCCGTGCACTTAACCACTACACCAAACTGGCTCCATTTGTTTGCCTCATTTATACCCATACCTTTCTCCTCAGTCGGGACTCAGATCAGCTGACATTGCTCTCCTCCCCTCCATTTTATCCTTACAACAACCCTGTATGGTAGATTAAGCTGATAGTGTCTGACTGGCTCAAGGCAGGATTGGAGCCGAGGGCAAGAAGATGCTTGGTGTTAGCGAGAGCTGGCTGAAGGCAACCATGGTTTAATTTTTGAGCCACTCTTGCCAGGAGACTGCAGGCAGGCACAGAGCAGTAGTGGAAAAACAAACCAGGGTTAAGCCAAGATTCCCCTGGAACACAGAAATCACTAACTCTGATGAATAAACAAACCGTATCATGGCTTCAGACCCTGGTCTGAGGTATCTGAGCCAGCCATAGTTACTGTGGTAGTGATGGTTTGGATGGTCGTATGATGATGGCTCGTTTAATTAGACCACGGTTTCACATTACAGATAAACCGAACCAACTAGGGTTGCCAACCTCCAGCTGGGGCCTGGAGTTCTCCCAGAATGATAACTGATTTCCAAACAAGAGCAATTAGTTCCCGTGGAGGAAACGGCAGATTTGGAGTGCAGACACGGAGGCATCACAGTTCCCTTCCTCAAACTCTGTCATTCACAGGCAAGGTATGGCCGGCATGACTAAACGCCAAGGCGCACAGAATGCTGTTACCTTATCTACCTGCAATTTCTTGCTTTCAAACTGCTAGGTTGGCAGAATCTGGGGCCGAAGGCGGGAGCTCACTCCGTCACATGGCACTCAGGTCTTGAACTGCCGAACTACAGACCTTCCAGTCTGCAGCTCAGTGTTTTAACCTCTGAGCCACCACGGATGATGATGATGATGATGATGATAGGAACCAAATATTAAATTTTTAATTAAAGAATGAAATATTTGGAGCATTTCCTCACGGAAGTAAAATCCTCTCACATTTACCTCATAACTTAATAATTTATTGTTATAGAATGATAGAATCACAGAGCTGGAAGGGGCCGTACAGGCCATCCAGTCCAACTCCCAGCTCAGTGCAGGATCAGAATAATTATCATTATGTTCTTTACACCAAACTATTACCTATACAGTATCAGCCATCTGTGGATAGCTACATCTGTGGACTGGGGCCACGTGGAGGCTAAACAGATTTTTCAGCAAATTTGGGGCAATCCCCAGATTTGCACAAAAATCTAAAAAATTTTAAAAATGCACGGGGGGGTTAAATCCCCCCCCCAAAGTAGTGTTCTCTGCACAAGCACAGAGAATGCTCTTACCTCAGGCGGTTGGAGGTGGAACAGGGAGTTGTGCTGGGTTCAGCGGTGGATGGGCAGCTGGGAGATCATCGCTGTGCCCAGTGGTGGCACAGCCCAGGAACCCTGCCAGCAGCTGCTCCGACCCGGCCGTGGCAGTGGGGGACACCGGCTGCCTCTCCGGGCCCAGCAGCAGGAGAGGAGCATACCGGCAGCTGCTTCAGCGTGGCTGGAGGGCTCAATAAGAGGTAATGGGGCCTGGAGCTGTTTGGCGCTGGGTGGGAAGGGAATCCCCCCTGAGAGTCTCCCCGCCACTAAGGCATAAGGAGGAAATCAGCAGCAATAGGGTTTCCCCCCACGAGTATCACGGGTCCCCATTTGTTTATACCTGATAACTTTCAGCACAGGAGCATTTCTCCACTCTTACATTAATTTTATTTTAGAATAATAAAAACATTAAAACATATATAGTTAGCCATCATTTACTACCTTTGTTGCTCAGAGAATAATAGCTTAGCATTTGGGAGCTGACCTGCTTGCTTTTTTTTTACTTGTGGGGCAGGGCCGTGGTCATACATAATGCCAAAACTGGGGATAGGATGGTGTCTAAGGGAATTGTATGTGAGAGGAGAGGTCCAGTACAATCCACCAGCCCTTTGCCCTCTCCCTAAATCCAGGTCTAGTTGCAAGATCGAAGAACAGATCAGTCATTTTTTATTTCTAAAATGTCACGGACAATCGAAGCTCTTACTTGTGTGCTGCTACTGCGGCGGCGGCAGCGAAAAAGGAAGGTTTTGTGCATTTCCCTCCAAAAGCTCCACCCACTCGTGTTGTGTGGCACCTGATCCTATTGGACTGGATGTCCAGTGTTGTAGCCACTAATTCCTGTCAAAAAACAAGAAAGCAGGCGATTATATAGGCCTATCCCTTCCCATCGTATTTACTGCACGCTTATTCCAGCCCTTCATGTTTAATGTCTTCTGAGTTTTGTCCACATAAATGCTACTCTCAGATACCATTGTGGTCCAGAATTTAAATTTAAAATAATTATGCAAAAAAAAAAAATGGACTGCAAGAAGATCAAATCAGGCAATCCTAAAAGAAATCAACCCTGACTGTTCCCTGGGAGGTCAGATTATGAAACTGAAGCTCAAATACTTTGGCCACCCAATGAGAAGGGAGCACTCACTGGAGAAGACCCTGATGCTGGGAAAGACTGAAGGTCAAAGAAGACGGGGACGGCAAAGGATGAGATGGTTAGACAGTGTCATCGATGCAACGAACATGAAATTGAGTGAACTTCAGAGGACAGCAGAAGACAGGAGGGCCTGGCGAGACCTGGTCCATGGGGTCGCGAAGAGTCGGACTTGACTGTGCGACTGAACAACAACAACAACAACAACAAATTGCATCTGTGCATCCACTACGGATGCCAGGATGGTGGCCAGCATCCCCGAGAGCTTTAGGGGCAGGTCCGGGGGAAGAAATGACGGTGCACAACATGTGATGTCATTCATCGTGCACCGTCATTTATGCCCCCGGACCTTTCTTCCACTGGCCCGAGGAGCAAGTGTGAGACTGCAGGCCCACCAGAGGGAGCCCCCCCATCACAAGCAAGCATGCGGCAATCCTAGTATCCACATTCTCCACAGTACATCAGGATACAAAGGCTTTTATCCAACAATTAGAAGCACAGAAGAGGCACGTGAGGAGGGGAAAGAGGATTGTTATGTATTGAGCCTGAGCCATCCCTGAATGTGGACCTTGAACAGGGTGAGCGTGCTCCCCAAGAACAATAGCTGACCAGGATCCTGGAATTGACCAAAAGATAAGTAGTGTAATGTAAATAGCCTATCCTTGGGAGTGGGTGTGTGGGGTGTTTGCATGCTCCATAAGCAGGGCTCAAACCCTGCTGGGTGTCCTTGTTGTGTTCCTGAAATCACTAAACAAACTAGAGCTGGTCACTGCAATGCATCCAGAACCCAGTATTTAACAAGGATGAAGTCACCTTCTCTCCTGTCTTCTGACAACGGAGCTACGTTTGTGGAAGACACAAAGGGGCTGTGGTTCAGTGGCAGATCATCTGCTTAGCATGCAGAAGGTCCCAGCATCTCCATTAAAAAAAAAAAAGATCAGGTAAGAGGTGATGTGGGAGACCTTCACCTGAGACCCCGGAGAGCTGCTGCCAGTCTGAGTAGACAATACTGTTCTTAATGGACGAATGGTCTGATTCAGTATAAGGCAGCTTCATATGTACATATAAGAAATCTCTGCAGTCTCTTCCCTCTCCTCCCTGCAGTACTGTGTGGATATTCTTCCATGCAGATCTTTTTAACTCCAGGAATAATATTTCCAGGGTTTGGAAGGGGTTGCGGAAATGTAGAGGAACACAGAAAAATCGACTTTCTGTTGTTGTGTGGGTGGGACTGGGAGCAGGCCACTTTCTCCAAAAGGTGGTACAGGAACTATGAGATAGGTGAAGTAGCTAGATTCTGTGATTATAAATTATTCAAAACCAGATTCTGCTCAAAGAAATTAGGAAACAAACATGACATAAACAGTATAGATGCACAATTACAGAGCTGCTACAGGCGTTTCAGAGACAGGTTCCTCTCCTTCCGATAATTGAAACTCATAAAAAAGCTGTCTCTTCAAATGCTTTTCAGTGCCTTTTCCAGCTCCACTAGGTAGACCTAGAAGTAAAGCTAGAAGAGGGAAATAAGCTCTTTTGGGCCTGGCTTAGCAACTAGAAAAGAAGAATAACCAGAAATATTTCCAAAGCTATGTCATGTATATTAAGCTGTGTTCATTAATGTTTTTGATTTTGCTTATAGTAACTAGGGATGAATATGAACCACATTTTTGCGGTTTGGTTCATGGCTGAACCACAAACCGAACCACGAACCTGTATGAACCGGGAGGCAGGTTTGCGAACCAAATTGGTTCATATGGGTACATGACCCCTGCTTTCTGTGGGGAGCAGGAAGTGGTTTAAATGTCTCTGGGCCTGCTGCTCAGCTGTTTTTGGTTAAGAGCTGTCAAGCCCCACCTCCCCGGGGTGTCCTCCCCCTGTAGCCATGGCCCGAGACCTCTTCTAGGTGACCCTGGGGGCTGAGACATCAGTTTAAAAGGGGAGGAAGGAGCCTCAGACAGACAGGGACGGGGTTGATGGCACCCCAGAGGTCCCTCTGTCACAGCTGGTGCCGACAGACCTCCTTCTTGCTTTCTGGCTTGTCCACTCGCGTTCGTCTCCTCTGGTCGCTCTCGCTGTTGCTCCTCCTCCCCAGCTCCTTCCCTCTTCCCCCTTTTATATCCCCGCCCCACTCCCAGGGCTGTCCCTCCAGGTTGGGTCCCTCCCACTTGCTAAACCCCGCCCCCTTGATAAGCCCGGATGCTCTCCGGGTGTCCTGGGTGTAGTCACAGGGGTTCTGTGACCATCCCGGCTTCTGGGCAGCCCGTTCCATCGCCTTGGCCCCGGGTGATACTGGCAAGGGGGTCCTCCCATAGCCCTTTGTCACAGACTCTCTTGACTGGAGCCGCACTGGAGTGGGGGGTTGTCCTGCCTTGGCGATGCCTCGGGTCCCACGGGCCTTGTGGAGCCGAGGCCGGGCCCGCGACGGTGGCTTCTCCGGTGTTGGGAGAGCGGCGGGTCGTGGCTTAGTCCGTAGACGTGGCTTCCTTGCCGCTGGGGCGCTGTCAAGCCCCGGTGGTGCCTTCTGACTGAGGGTGTGTTCTGGAGGCTCGCAGTGGGGAGCCAAGGGCCAGGATAAGAGCAGAAAGCAGAGGTTTTATATGTCTTGGAGCCATTAAACTCCTGCTTTCCACTCTTCAGTTTGGTGTAGTGGTTAAGTGCACGGACTCTAATCTGGGAGAACCGGGTTTGATTCCCCACTCCTCCACTTGCACCTGGCTGGATGACCTTGGGCAAGCCGTGGTTCTGATAAGAGCTGTTCTTGAAAAAGGGCAGTTTCTGTCAAGAGCTCTCTCAGCCCCACCTACCTCACAGGGTGTCTGTTGTGGGAAGGGGAAGGGAAAGGAGTTGTAAGCCGCTCTGAGACACCTTTCGGTAGTGAAGGACAGGGTATAAATCTAATCTCTCTTCTTCTTCTTCTTCTTCTTCTTCTTCTTCTTCTTCTTCTTCTTCTTCTTCTTCTTCTTCTTCTTCTTCTTCTTCTTCTTCTTCTTCTTCTTCTTCTTCTTCTTCTTCTTGAACCACCACAAACTGCATCAAAATTCATGAAAGTTCATGGTGGTTCTTCAGTTCATGAAAAAATTGGCCAAAATTAATGATGAACTTTAGTTTGTGTGCCAGTTCATGCCCAACCCTAATAGTAATTCTGTTCTTGGTAATCACTGACCTCTGACTACGAAGTTTATCTAATCAAGCTTGTTAGGAAACTGTTTACATCACCTATAGCAGTTATATTTGAGCACTATTTAAAAACACTGCTGTCCATGCTGTCCCATTGTTGCTTATAATCAAACAGGGTTTGCAGGTTTTTTGAAAGAGAACCTGCAAGCCTGTTTACCAGAAGTCATACTGGGATGAGTTAACATACCATGAGCAACAAGGCCTCTTTAACATTCCGAAAACAACTGTTGTCAGCTCCAATCTCGGGCCCTCTAATAATTTAAGTTTGAGCTACCTGTACATTCGAAGCATCCTGGGTGGAGACATATATATCAATTTCATTATCCTCTTTTCTTGGAATGACAACACTACTGTTTGTTTCCATGTAAAAATGGTTTTGTCCTCCAACACGGTTTTCACCTGTTTAAAATCAAATGAAAAAATACCTGTTAAAATCAAACGAAAAAGGGAATTCAAATGAAAAAGGGAAATTTCCCCAAGTAACTGATCTGCCCTAGAACTTTAGTAAATGATTGCATCTGAACACACCCTCCCCAGGTACACTTAGGCAATACTATTATGGGACCTAATAGCATCAAAATCACCCCATCTCCTGGCAAAGACTGAATGACAACTTCAGATTTCTGAGGTGCTAACCATCTTGGTAAAACCTGGTCATTAATCAGAGCCTCCCCACCTCTATATAAAATATCCATTCAGAAACACTGGGACAACACTGTGTCGTACGAGAAAAAGACTGCCACAAATCTGGTCTGGGAAAAAAACCATGGAAAAATAAACTGGAGTGCAACCAGTTGGCGATGATGTCATGTGACTCCATCTACAAACAGCATGAGGACCTCACAGCGATTACAGAACGAAGGGTCAGATGGAACCCATCTTCAGTAGTCCGTATCACAAATAGGAAGACAGAGAGATGAACCTTGCAAAAAGAGCTTGAGAGATACTAAGGAGCAACCAGGGCATTCCACGTCAAAAACAACAATGAAGACCTGCAGCCAAAGGATATTGGAGCAAGAGCTAGGGATGCCAGCCTCCAGGTGGGACCTGGGGATCCCCCGGAATTATAGCCCATCTCCAGACTACAGAGATCAGTTCCCCTGGAGAAAATGGATGCTTTGGAGGGTGGACTCTATGGTACTATACTCCACTGAGGTCCCTGTCCGCCCCAGGCTCCATCCCCAAATCTCCAAGAGTTTCCCAACCTGGATATGCCAACCCTATCCCCCCCCCATCTCCTGCTGGTGGCCAGGGGGGACATGGCAGCCCTAGGAGACTAACTAAGGGTGCATTCACACAAATTTGTTTTCTGAATAAGGTGAGCTATCAGATAGCAGCCAGCAAGCTTATTGATATGTGGAAGAAAAGCTCATGCACAAATGAATGTACCATGTGACCGCTATATTAGGAGCACTGCATGATTACTAAGACCCCATCCAATAGCTTACCTTCAATGATTCCGTCAACTGTTTGAAACGCTTCCTCCACATTCCCTTGCTCTATTTTCTTTTCTTTATCGAAGTACGAATTATGCTGTATGGCATCCTGAGAGGGCGAAAAGATGTGCTTGGATCCCAGTGAGTATTTCCACAGGAACAAGCAAAGGCAATTTTCACCAGTTTCTCCTTCCTGTGGGAGACCACTGATTCCTCCCAAGTCATCCCCAGGAGCAGCATTTAATGGGCCACCAAGATGTCATCGTGTAGTCTCATAAGAATTCGGTGGATTTCTTTTCTTGTAGAAAAAGGCTCCCTGTACATGGACCCATTGTGCAGATTTTTTTATCACCACTGTGATTCTAGCAAAGAGGCTTTTGACACCATTTTCTTAACTGGAATCACTATGGAACAACATTCTGTTAGTCTTTAAAGTGCCAAAAGAATGCTGTGTAGTTTTGCTGAAATGGATTAACACAGCTACCCCTCTGGAATTATTAATACGATGAGCAGTCACTCTTGCCTATGTACTCATGCCAAGGTTTACCTAGCCCGGCATTCTTTGAAAGAAGAACCCTATCAATTAGCAGATGGGTGGGCTGGATTCAACCTCTATCCTACCACTCCAATGAGCAACGTTTGTTTTCTTCTTAAAATCTTCATACCCCACCTTTCGTTTTGGCTCAGGTTTGAAGCCTTTTTTCAGTTTGAGGAGACTTTTCCCAAATTAAGTGGCTCTTCCATTGAAGGGAGAGCACTTTTATGTTGAAGAAAAGCCCCTCAGGCTGCAGGAAAGCTACTTGGAGGATGGCTGGATCCACCCCAGTAGGCAACCCACCAGAAGACCACGATCGCACTTCTGCCCCCCCCCCTTCTTTGGCGCCTGGTTTTTGGCCACTGTGTGACACAGCATGTTGGACTGGATGGGCCATTGCCCCGATCCAACATGGCTGATCTTATGTTCTTTACTTATCACACCTCAGATAAATGATACAGGCTACCGTTTCCTCTCTTCTTCCTCAGTTCTTTGCCCTGGAGCTATGCATCCCGCTCCTTATTGGCTGTGATATCTTGCAAATGTTTAGAGAGGTTCTGCTGCAGCTCCCCCTGCTAGACAGGAGGCGATCTATTCCAAAAGTGAAGCCAGTGAAAGTAAAATGCCATGCAGTTCCACAAAACAACGGCGGCTTTTACCTGAATAGTCAGAATCGGTTCCAGATCTTCATATTCTATCTTCACTTTTCTGGTGGCTTCCTTCGCAAGCTCATAGGTCTCTGCAACCACACCACAGATGATGTGACCAACGTATATTACCTGCATGGCATAACCAAGCGGCAGAAAGTAAGGTGAACTGCTTTAACTCAGTGGCAGCAACAGTACTCTTTTTAATCTGCTCTGATAAACTTTGTTCTAAGGAATCAATTTTCAACCTGTGTTCTGAGTACTTCTGAGGTTTCTTGTTTCCCTGGTGGACAAGTCATCTAACACAGCTGGTCTTCCCTTGCAAAGTACTGCTACTAGGGATGCCAGCCTCCAGGTGGGACCTGGGGATCCCTGGGCGTTACAGCTCATCTCCAGACTACAGAGACCAGTTCCCCTGGAGAAAACAGTTGTTTGGAGGGTGGCCTCTATGGCATTGGACCCCACTGAGGTCCCTGCCCTCCCCGGGCTTCCTCCCCAGATATCCAGGGGTTTCCCTACTTGGATCTGGCAACCCTAACCCATCCCATTCCCTGCCAGGGGAGACCTGGCAACCCTAAATGCTATGGGACAGTATTAAGTGTATTCTAGACAGCATAAGGAGCTGCGGTGGCTCAAGTGGTTAAGACGCTGAACTGCAGGCTGTGGAAGGTCAGTAGTTCAGCAGTTCGAGAACGGAGTGTGCCGCATGACGGAGTGAGCTCCCGTCTCTAGTTCCAGCTCCTGCCAACCTAGCAGTTCGAAAGCAAGAAATTGCAAGTAGATAAATAGGGACCACTTTGGTGGGAAGGTCACAGCGTTCCGTGCGCCTTGGTGTTTAGTCATGCCGGCCACATGACCACGGAAACGTCTTTGGACAGCGCTGGCTCTTCGGCTTCGAAACGGAGATGAGCACCGCAACCCTAGAGTCAGATTCGACTGGCTTTCTAGCAAGGGAACCTTTACCTTTACCTAGACAGCATAAGTGTATTCCATTTGTGCGAGGTAATGGTAATACCCTTGAGGTCTCATCAGTAATTCACTTGATTGACTGTGCCTTCTAGAACACAGAATTTTCTGCAATGTATCTTGGTTCCTCAGCAGACAAAATAATGTGAGGAAAAGTTCCCTGATCGAACCCAGTCTTCTAAGGTAATCCCAAGAAATGCTGTTATATGATCTTTTTTTCCCTTCAAAATTCCAAAGCTCCCTGCAAGACTCCACAAAGGTAGGGACTCCTCACAGTATACCCATCAGGGTTGCAGTGATGGGGAAGGTTGTTACCCCGCTTGTCTGTTGTGTAATTTTAGACACGGGGCCTCAAATCCATACAAAGTTTTACAAACTGCATTCCTCTGTGATATTGGCAGAACACAACTGATATGGTGATGATGAGGTATGGCTCCACACAGAGTCCTCCAGCCTTCTGGTCCTGATCTATATGGCTTCTTCCATATGGACAGGGAAGGGCCCGGAGAGGACAACTCAAGTGGCCTAGGCTTCTACAAGCTTAGGGCTGCCAAATCGGCCCGGGGGGCGGGGAAACCCCCGCAGCGGAAATCGGGCCCCGGGGGAAACCCCACCCCCGCGTGCACGTCACAGGGAAGTGACGTCATGACGCCGGGCATGCTGGGGGCGGGGCCACAGCCATTTGAGGGGAAAACTCCATGTTTTCCCCCCAAATGGCAGCCCTGTGACGTGCATGCGGCGCGCCGGGAGCCGGGCTGGAGTCCCCCGCCGCGAGGGTAA